AATTTGGCTGCAGATTGGATCTTTATTTTGCTTACTGGTTTCCTATGTATACTTTGGTAACTCTACTCACTGTCTCTACAGAGATGAACAAACTGTCAGGCTACTCGTCTCTGAGGATAGCTAAATTATTCAGAAAAAAAGCAATATTCCAAACAACAGGCCATATGCTAAGGGCTGAGGGCATATGGGCATTTCCTTTGCTATTGTCTGCTGAATGAACTTATCTACAGTGGCTTGATCTCTGTTCTAGGAAGAGAATGGCAGGAACATATATTTTGTCTCCTGAAGCATAATTTCAGCTCCAATTCCTGCATCAAGAAACAAATTTTGTTTTGGAAGAAATACCTGGGTTTAGATTAGACTTCTTTCTTAAATTAGGGGAGTTGTTTACATGTTTAAATGTTCTACCTGACCAAAATACCTAATGATCTAGGATCATATCTTAGTCATTTATATCTGTACAACAGGGTCTATCCCAAGTGTTAGGATTATAGTAATTGTTTAATAAATATTTGTTTGGGGAGTGAGGGGGGCACTGAATCAATGAATATTCATTTTGAAAACTGTTATACATATAATTTTCAGAGGTGGAAGAGGGTTAGAAGACAGTTCTCATTTTAAAATGCATATCTCAAAAAGCGCCTTTCAGTGAATATTTAAAAAGAAAGTGGATTAGAGATTCCATAGTTATTACCTGGGTGCTTCTGTTTTTTGCTCTTAGCTTTCCTAGGACGTTACAATTTACCACATTCATTTCAGCACCACATCTTTCTTAACCATGGAGGGAGAGTTATTCATATCAAAATACAGCAACATCTCTACAATCTTGAACCAAGTCTATAGACAACAGCCACCACTGAGCTTCTTCTTGATGTTGCATCTCTCCTTTTGAAAGACCTCTTATTGCTTTTGTAAAGACAGCATCTTCTAAACTCAGCTGGAGAAAATAACCAGCTCTCAGGTTCTCTGGCCTTTCAATTAGATACTTTCTAATACTTCCATTTCTGTGTGAAGTTGGATCTCTTCTCTGATACTTTGCCAGGGTAGTTCTAGAATTTCCACATCATTTAATTTAGGCCAACATCACTTGCAAACTTCAAGTTCAGTAGCATAGTAAGATAGACTACAGGTGGACTTGCCAAAATGTTGAAATCTAACTCACGAAGGAGTGCCATTATAGAAATAGATTTTCTACTATCTGGTCTTATATTCTCTCCTCCCTGATCCAATATCTCAATATGTCAAAATCAACTCTTTGGAATATTCTCCAGGTTGCTACTGGTATTTATTAGCCAGATTCTGTAGTTCATTTGATGAATAATCCATTCTGTCAAGCAACCAAAGATCATCCCTTTCCACTCACGTCCTGCCAAACCTTGGCCGTAATTATTTGTCTAGAAGCAATAATGGGAAATGAGAACAGAACTTGAAAGAGGCAAGCAATACCTAAAACATCCTACTTAGATGAGGCTTTTACAGGACAATTATCCATTCTCCACTCTTCAAAAGGACCTAGGGTTTCAAGACTCAAAGATGTTCCCCCAAATATCTCATCCTGTTTTTCCAGTGTCCCTTTTCATTCCTATAAGGTACTCACTTTAGGGGCAGACATTTGTGAGCACTTTGAATTTAGCCTCCTTTACTACTCAGCTTCTCCTGAAATGAAATCTAAAGACTGATTAACACCATCATCTGTGCTGGAAATAAAGAAAAGAAGGGTAATTTTGGATGCTGCTTAAAGGTCTTCAGCTTTCACACTACATCCTAATGAAGTATTGGTGCTATTGGTGCATCTGAGTACATATATTTTTCTTCCTTCAGAGTCTCTTTTTCTTTTTATATAATTTATTTCTTCTTTGTGTGTGTGTGTGCATGTGTGCACACTAAGGATCAAACCCAAGGCTTCACACATGCTAGGCAATTGCTCTATCACTAAGCTACATTGCCAGTCTATATTTCTTTTCTAAAATTAACACATAACAATTATACACATATATGGGGTACAGTATGATATTTTAATATGTATATACAACATGCACTCATCAAATTTGGGTAATAAGCATTTTCATCTCCTTACCATGTATGAGCCTTCATGAATATATTTCTCATGAAATGTATGTTCCTGTGAGCTATAACAGTCTTTCTGTGCTGTGAAATACCACAACATTTTCTTCCTATCTAATTGTATTTTGGGTCCATTATCTACTATCCCTTTCTTCACCCTGCCTAGCTAGCCTCTAGTAATTGCTACTTTACTCTCTCCTTCTTTGAGATTAAATTTTTTAGCTTCCACATATATGAGAAAACAAGTAGCATTTGTCTTTCCACATCTAGCTTATCTTAATTAATATAATGTTCTCTAGATCCATCCATTTTGCTGCAAATAACACAATTTCATTTTTTATGGATGAATGATATTCCATTGTTTTTATATAGTGTTTTCTTTAGCCATTTATCCTACATTGAGTCCACATCTTGCCAATTGTAAATAGTGCTGCAATAAAGATGGGACTTTAGTTTGTTGATTTCATTTTCTTTGGGTATATACCCAGAAATGGGGTGTCTAGTGACAAAAGAGCACTGAGCAGTCACTTCTCAGAAGAAGATATACAATCAATCAACAAATATATGAAAAAAATGTTGAACATCTTTAGCAATGCGAGAAATGCAAATCAAAACTACTCTTAATATTTTATCTCACTCCAGTCAGAATGGCAGCTATTATGAAGACAAATAACAATAAGTGTTGGTGAGGATGTGGGGG